CACGAAGATGTACTCTATACTGACAGCTCCGATGTTAAAGTCAAAGAATCAAAAAAAGTGAGACGAGTGGAAACTTAATCGTGACACTCTAATGCATTATTTTAATCATTACGAGGCTCTTATAAAAACAGTTTGCAGTTTAAATAGAACTAAATATGGTCCATTCCTTTACAAGTGACATTGGTAAATAATGATCCTGGCCCATACGTGTCATACTTTCCGTCTGGCTGTGAAGGCTGCAGGTTTAATTTCATCACGCACATAAAATGTATGTGGTTCAAATCAATTTAGAAAAGGAAAAAATAGGGGAAAACCCCCAGAACGATAAAATAAGCAATCTAAGGAAAAATCTTGGTTAAAATCATTTTAAATTATTAATTCAAGTGAAAATCGAATGGTATTCCTAACCTGGTACCTATTCTTCAGTACCTATCATTATTATCACATTTCGAGGTTGATCTCTTGGTTTCCTGTTGCCCGCTGAAAGTTTAGCATTATTTCAAATCTTCATGCTGACAACATAAGTCGCGCGATTAGTAAAATGAAGAAATGTGGTTTATTATGCTGTATTGCGGTCTTTGTTTTAATTATTTCAAATCAGCAAGTTGAAACGGTGAGTCAAAAATGAACCAAAAATTCAGATAATATTAGAAGTAGAATGTTTTTAGATTGTTAGATCAATGTTCCATGAACGGTACGCAAATCGAGGGTAAAATGCCATATTAGTTCATTGTCAGTTCAAAAGCATGAACCGGGGACACAGGTACCTGGACTGAAAGTATAGTTACAATAAGCGGACAGTTCAACCAAAATGCTGCTGTCGAAAGTAAAAACTCCGTATCTGATCTCTATATATTCCTAATTGTTTTCTGACAAAATGCTGCTTTACAAGCAGACAGCGAACAAACATGATCGTCCTTCATTTTTCCGAGTCGACTCTAACGTATACCATACCTAAGGAACTCAAACTGAAAAAATAAAATCTTGTAGCAATTAGGTTTTTTCTGTAATTGAGTCAAATGTAAGGAAGAAAAAAATTATATGTGGAATGGAGTTGTAGGGTTTTTACAGTGGACGACAGAAAGATGCACCGTATTGAAGAGCATTTGGCCGGAATACTTCTCAAACTTCACCCATTTCACCATGTACCAATTAGTAGGTTACACTATATTACCCATAGTTCAGGTATTCAAATTTGGTAAGGGATTAAGCTAGGTAGGATTTGGCAGGAGATCATTAGGTTTCATATATATAGCAAAAACAGAATCTACAGGTCCAGGCCCGCCAAATCCCATCTCGGGCCCTAGTACCAGTTTTAAGGTCCGGGCCCCAAGCAAGGAGGGGGGGGGTCCGAGGGGCATCCCCCGAGATATTTTAGAATTTATACGACTAATCGGACGCATTTTGAAGCTCCATAAAGAATTTTTTCCTCAATTTCTGCGGAATAATTATGTTTTTTTTTCTACTTTCAGCACAAAATACTTGCGAATTGTTGCATTTTGGGGAGGGGGGCATATGATACTAATTTCAGTTCTAAGAGGGCCAGGCCCCCCTGGACTCCCCCTTCGTTTGTCTTTGGCAAGGCAGTTGAGCCATGAGCCATTGAAGTCGAGGATGCCCACACTGGAGACTCTTAGCATCTGACGACGGAAGAAAATAAAACGCAGTTACTAAAAATATCCCTCTGTACTGAAAATCTTGAAAATAGATAGAAATTTCCCAAGAAGTATACTTCTTTGAAAATTTAAGAAGAATTCAACAGTGCCCCAGCGTGTTTCTGAAAATCTATTCACCTTTTGCGAAATTTTTAGGGTAAATTTTTCACTTTTTCTTACGAAACAAGGGTTGCATGTGAATTGGTAGTGGTTTTTCACGGGTAAAACGGGCCCCCACCGGGGCCTGGGCCCCGGTACCAGGGACCCAGTATCCCCCCCTTGTGGCGGGCCTGCCTTCATGCACGCTGGGCTTGTCGATTTCCTCTGACATTTTTGCCATGGTGAATGCATAGCTGAAGTGCGCTCCAGCTAGAATTGTATTTAGCAAAATGGTGGTTATTCTACGAGGATTAAAAATAAACGAGTGGTACGGAATATAACAAAAGAATATGAACTACGCAAAACGATGATCCGGGTATCGGAATTGGCTGTTTTGAAAACGCCTTCAAATCCGGCGTGATATCTTACGCATACCGGAGAGTTCAAATAGTTGTATCATTGCGCCTTAGAAATGCGACGGAAGATTACAACTGAAATAGCCTTCATGCACGCTGGCCTTTTGGGTTTCCGTTAACACTTTTGCAGTCATGAATGCGCTTAAGTTCGCTTCAGCTAGAATTGTATTTAGCAAATGGGTGGTCGTTATAGGAGGATTATAATTAAAGAACTGGTTAGAAATAGAAATAAAAGAATATGAACTATGCAAAAGGATAATCCGGGTATCGGAACTTGGCTGTTGTGAAAACGCCTTCAAATGCGGCGTGATACCTTACGCATTCCGGAGAGTTCAAATAGTTGTATCATTCCGCCGTAAGAATGTGACGGAAGATTTAAATGGAGATATTCTCCATGCACGCTGGGCTTGTCGATTTCCTCTGACATTTTTGCACTGGTGAATGCATAGCTGAAGTGCGCTTCAGCTAGAATTGTATTTACAAATGGGTGGTTTTTCTACGAGGATTAAAAATAAACAAGTGGCACGGAATATAACAAAAGAATATGAACTATGCAAAACGATATTCCGGGTATCGGAACTTGGCTGTTTTGAAAACGCCTTCAAATGCGGCGTGATACCTCACGCATACCGGAGAGTTCAAATAGTTGTATCATTGCGCCTTAGAAATGCGACGGAAGATTGCAATTGAAATAGCCTTCATGTACGCTGGCATTTTCGATTTCCGTTAACATTTTATCAGTCATGAATGCTCTTAAGTGCGCTTCAACTAGAAGCGTATTTAGCAAATGGGTGGTTATGATAGGAGGATTATAATTAAACAAGTGGTTAGAAATGGAAACAAAATAATATGAACTATGCAAAACGATTAGTCCAATAACGGAACTTGGCTGATTTGAAAACGCCTTCAAATGCGGCGTGATACCTTACGCATTCCGGAGAGTTCAAATAGTTGTATCATTGCGCCGTATGAATGTGACGGAAGATATAAATGAAAATAGCCTTCATGCAGGCTCGCCACATCCCATCTTGGGCCCTAGTACCAGTTTTAAGGTCCGGGCCCCATGTACGGAGGGGGGAGGTCTGAGGGGCATCCCCCGAGATATTTTAGAATTTATACGACTAATCGGACGCATTTTGAAGCTTCCATAAAGAATTTTTTCCTCAATTTCTGCGGAATAATTATGTTTTTTTTTTTTTTTTTTTTTTTTTTTTTTTTTTTTTTATAATTTCAGCACAAAATACTTGCGAATTGTTGCATTCAAAACATCTGGAAAATTTTTATTTTTTTTGGGGGGGGGGATATGATACTATTTTCAGTTCTATGAGGGCTATGCCCCCTGGACTCCCCCTTCGTTTGTCTATGGCAAGGGAGTTGAGTCATGAGCCATTGAAGTCGAGGATGCCCAGACTGGAGACTCTTAGCATTTGACGACGGAAGAAAATGAAACGCAGTTACAAAAAATATCCCTCTGTACTGAAAATCTTGAAAATAGATAGAAATTTCCCAAGAAGTATACATCTTTGAAAATTTAAGAAGAATTCTACAGTGCCCCAGCGGGTTTCTGAAAATCTATTCACCTTTTGCGAAAAGTTTAGGGTAAATTTTTCACTTTTTCTTACGAAACAAGGGTTGCATGTGAATTGGTAGTGGTTTTTCACGGGTAACACGGGCCCCCTCCGGGGCCCGGGCCCCGGTACCAGGGACCCAGTATTCCCCCCTTGTGGCGGGCCTGTACAGGTCCTACCTTATAATGTGACTCTAGCGTAACGTAACTGAGGGATGATCCGTCAACATGACAATAATTATTGATGTTACTTTTTTCATATTTTTTTTTTATTTTTAAATTTTTTTCCCTTTTTGCGGAAGGTTAAGGGAACTCTGGACCGGGATCGAGTGATCCTGATGTACACGAACCGAGGGGATCGTTGCCGAGGAATTTCGGAGGGATCGACGATAGAAGCCAGGCAGGCGGCCAACCAGGCGTGCGAGCAGGCGTTTTTGGCTCTTGACCGGCTTGGCCTCAACGTTTGCACCAATTGGTCCCGCCCCGAGTGTCGCGCCATCCCCCATCAACCCCACCGCATCTGCTCTGTCATTACCTCTCCCTGTCCCCTTTACGTTACAGGTGAATGAGAAAAGGAATCTTAGTCTACAAACACTCAAATTTTATTCCAAAAACTTGAAATTGTCAATCTCAATACCTTCTTTGAGAGTAAAATGTACATACCATGATACACACAAATTTTTAAGAAGCAGCCCTAAAAAATAGTAACAGAAGAAAAACAATGGGAGAAAACGGGACACAATGCCTAAAAACAACTAAAAAACGAGTTTTCTTTTTCTACGGATCTCGGTCATTGACAAGTAGGCTTAAGGTTTTTTTCATCAATATTTCATATTTTAATATATTTTCCGACTGAAAATGACTCAGTTCTGTGTCGAAACGTCTCGGGATTTCCCTTGTTATATTTTAGCCTTGTTTCCCGTTTCTTCCTGTTTTTCTCCTGGTCATATATTACCATATCGGTGGCCAAAGTGCGGAACCGCACATATTTCCGTTTTTGACATAGCAGATTTCCCATCATACAGTATTTTTCCTCTGGAATAGAAATGATAAATACTTCTCCAATTTGTCTCTAAACTTTCCAATTTTAAAAAATCACATCAGGCAATGAATCTAGTTACCCTCCTGCTGCGCAACGTAAGGATAATATTACTTTGGAAAATTTATGAGTTATGACGATGATAATCACGAGGCCTTTTGGTTGATTTATCCATAGACGTCAGCAGACAAACCAGAACCTTCGCCGATTGCGCCCCAAGCCTAATGACGGAGGAGATGCTAACGGGAGCACCACCTCGACCGTCGAAGCAATTTTCACGAAATTGGCAGAAAACTTACAGGGATGCTCTCGGTGTGAGGCGTGCCAAGAAAGACGCACAACGCGCAGCTGCCGCCGCTGAACAGGCTCTTGCTGATGAACAGTCTCTCGCTGCTGCGATGGCTCTTGTTATTGAACAGGCTCACGCTGAGGAACAGGCTAGACTCTTGGCCTCCACTCGCTACTCGCCCTCGAGAGATTCTTCAGGTCCAGGAATAGCTTCGGGTCCTGGAAGTTCCTCGTCTAGGAAAGGCAAGGAAAAGGTTACGGGCGGATCTAGCGCTCGGGGTGGCCGAGCAACCCCAACAACCCCACGCGCGAGAGGTGTAAGTATTCCAGGCACCCAGGGTGATCACGGACCTTCAGGCGGTTTGGGAACTCATGGTACTCAGGGATTAACTCCAGGCGGCCTAGTTACTCAAGCGCGTCGGGGTATGTTCTACTATTTCGTTCTACATTTGATTCTTACTCGAGTGGGTTTGAATGTCCTGCTCTAATGATTGACTGACTCAGAATAAATAATAATTTCGTTTTAATACCTAGAAACGTTGTCGTCTTGTATGTATTTTATTCAGTTTTTTATTTTTTTTTTCATTTTACAATGAAAAGGTAAGCATGCAATCTTGTTAATTTTGGAATCATATTCATGTGCAGCAAAACAAGGAATTTGCGCGCAAATGGGCCCAGAGATGTCAAACCAAACTGAAAACACGGCTCTTAATAGTTAGCAATTTAAATGAAGTAATTTTGAGAATGATCTGTTTAAAACGAATGTAACATATTTAGCGCTAAAATTCACCCCGATATCAAGTAAGCCGGGAAAATCACTCAAACCGTTCCTATGACATTCTTTGGTACACACTGGGGAGCCCTGAGACACTATGGTGTGGTGCCTGAGTGCTTTTTGAAAATGTATGTGATCTGAGATGTTTTAAGAGGTTTAGACTAGCTGTGATTTTTATTTTTACCTCATTTTTAGTTTCGTACCCACCCCTATCCGTACCATATCATTAACTCTAAATTATTGCACATGTATCTTTTGTAAATATTTCCACATATCTAGTTCTTTTCCGCTAGTTTCACCGCTGGCGGTTGAAGCCCTAATGAATGTTAGTATGACCGCTCATGTAAAAAAAATTATACGTGTAGTGACTGCTCATACTAAAGATTTACGATACTTATTTGTTTTTAGGGAATCTGAGTAACAGTAGAAAAGCAGGTAAACCTTATGTTTGTGATACCTGTGGACTCACGTACTCAAACCAGGGGACCCTTATATCACACTTAAAATCTCACGAAGAAGATTACAAGTGCCACGATTGTGACAAGAATTATAACAACAAGTCAAGCTTCAATAAGCACATGAGGAAATTCCACGGAGGTAAGGTTTTTCTTCTTTTTTTTCTTAAACTAACCTAAACGGGCTCGGCTAGGTTAAGGATAATCTTCAGCGTTGGTGAGCGTTGACGTGAAAAAATCCACCACGTCCGGCTGCTAAAATCTGGCTCCGGAATCCGTGAATATTTACAAATTACAACAGATACTATAAATAATAGGACTCATAAGTTCTAGCAGCGTATGTTGGGAATGTTTGAAACTAAACACGAGATTTCTAAGTTTATTGATAAAAGCTAAACCTCGATCCAAGTTTTTCTCGTGGGACACCTGTAAGTGCGAGAGATTTCACGGAGGGAGAAAATATCTGCAACAGCTGGGAAAGATGGTCAGCTCGAGATTGGTCGCATCCACGTCGTTTTGCTTAACACTTCTTTTTTGGGGGAATCAAGTTCTATACAGAGTTTCAGAAATTACTCTTCATGTCATTTATAGTGTCAAAAGCGAGAAGAATGTCATCGCTAGAACTTATGGCTCTTCGATTTCAACAGAAGTTCCTTCAATTTTCATACAAGATCAAGGACCCACGTCAAGCTGTACGAACTCTAACAACGTGACCCTCAAAATTAATACACGGCGGTGGCGCCCCCTACGCGAAGAAATTTCTTACTTCGAGGAGCTATAGATAACACTTACATATAGAGGGACCGTTCAAAGGTGAAGATGTCCTTTTGTGCTTTGGAGGAGGAAAGTGAGAACTACCTGACAAAACTCCTTTGAAGGATGATGGGAAGGCAAAAGGGAACCAGGCAATTTAGGGGTGAGAAAATCTGGAAAAAGACTGGGTTGGTGAGACTTCTTTTTTAAGGATAAGCAGTTAATATCTTTCGACTGATTTTTAAATTAAATGTAAGGTCCGTGGAGAGGAAAACTCTATTGTCACTTCTTGTGACAAAAATTTAACTGGAAAAGTTACAAAGAAGAAGAGAGGTCATTTGAGTAGAAAAAACTAAAGCCAGGTTTACTTTTTCTAAGTTCAGTGTTGCATGTTTGGACGCAACGAATCAATAGAAACTTACCTAGTAAATACCCCAGTTTATGTATTAAGCTAATTGATTTGACCTGAACTTCGTTTTATGGAGGCTGAGTTAGGGATGATTCTAGGTTTCGGCCCTTCTTTTTGACCAAGTGAAAATTGGACACTCGAGAGCCAAGGTTGTGGCTTTGCGCAGACAAAAACTTTTTTTTTCATTTTTAGCGATAAGTCCGGAAAATCTAGGGAACAAGATGGCTTATAGTAGTAATTTGAGATAAGCTTTTCTTTTCCGGAGTGGAGGGATTCAACAATTCGAATTTATTGATGACCCATTTATAACAAAAATGCTGGTTGTGATTGTGCTTCCAAGTGGGGACGTTTTTGCCTTTTTGGAAATACATTTGCAAAAGCATTTTAGATTCATTTAAGAACATTGCTTGTTGCTTTGTTTCAGCTGAGAAGGAAATTCCCAGTTCCGACATCAAACCTTACGAGTGTGATGAATGCCATAAACGTTTCACCAACAGGGACGGCGTGGTCCAACACAAGGCCTCTCACACGGACGCGACCACCTGCCCTGTATGCCAAAAAAAGTATGGGAAGATAGCCTCCCTAAAAGAGCACATAAACAAGAAACACCCAGGAACAGGCTGACGGCTGGTGATGACGATGATTGAATCAATACGCAGACTTTTTTTTAACCTGTGATAATGATTATAATGTGATTCCCTCGTCGATTAAGAATTGCATTTACATATATAGTAATGCCATTTATGTTTGCTCTTTACAAGTAGGCCGATGAAAATCTTTGAATGTAAATATATATAATATAATGTAACATAGATGTTTTAATCTTGCAAAGGCATAATTATCAATGCAGACCCTTAAAGAATCAGCTGTTAAGCAATTCTTTTTGACATCTTGCCCGAAAACTTCTTGCCCCCTCATCCTCTGAGCTCCAGAGTGATAAAGATTACGCAGGGAAAAGAACTGTAGTTCTCATCGACTGTCCAGTTTTCGGTATGGATGTGCCAGCTCCTAAATACCATTCACATATCATATTTATAGATAGATGTAGATTTCCAACCTAATGAACAAAGGAGTAGAAACCAAATAAATTGCAAAAAAAATTGAACATTTGAACAAGTGAACATTTATAAAGCAAATCTTGAACAAGAGTAGGAAGTTAAAGTTTAATATTTACAAAAGCTGACTTAAGTTAGTAAACTGAGAATGCAGATGAAGGAATCTGCATTTAAGGGTGAAATTTCGTGAAATTTTGACATTTTTTAGGGTGATTTAATGAATGGGCAAGATCATGATATATTATTGAAATTGCTAAATCTGCAAAAAAAAAAAAAAAAAAAAAAAAATTATTCTAACTATGCTGTTGTGCTATAAAAATCCTGTCACGTGAAATTCAATAAGGCGCTTCAATATTTCACCAAATCCCAAGAATTGGAGTAATTAATTTTTAATATTCCCTGAATACACAAAAAATTGCATGTTTGTGTTTTGATGAGCCATGAAGCCTCCAGTAACACGATCACAACTTGGGCGGTGAGCAATTTGAATTTGAGAATCTGCGATGACTGTTCTCGCCGTTAGAAAAGTTTGAAGTGCGTTGGTAAGGTGGTATTTTATTTTCAATTGTATTTTGAAGTCTGATAACAGAGATAATTGGTAATTTAATAAAAATATACCACCACGTGGACCAACAGCTTTTTTGATTGCATTTTGCATAAAGGAATCAAGAGTATTTCAATGTCGCTAAGATCGTATAACTTTTTCTACCTTGATATTGATTACTGATCATCGAAACAAGTTGTACCATTACTCCCAAGAAACTATAAATTCAAGAGAAAAATTGGATTGCGTTAAACAGAAAGGAACCAAGCCACATCAGCTTTTGCCAACTTTAATTTGGAAATTTAATTTTTTACATGAAAACGGTTGTGCGGATTTTCGTGCAAATTTTGGTGAATTTTCTCCATAGCACGAAGCTAATTCCTTAAAATTTTCAAAGAAATCCCTATAGACTTTCTCTCGTAAAAAATTGAATTGCCCGGATAAATTTGGCAATAGCTGACGTGGCTCGGTTCTTTTCTGTTAAACGCGGTCCAATTACCGTTGTAAATCTAATTTTTGCACGATTTCAGTAATCTTATTTCTAAGAATGCAAGTTGAACAATTTTAGCAAATTGGAATGCTCTTGATTCCTTTGTGCAAAATGCAATCAATTTCTTCTGAACAGTAATCGAATTATAAATACACTAAAAATATTTAAAAAGAGGGAAAAAAGAAAAAAAAATAGTGTAAAGTCAATTAGATCTGCATTCACAATTTGCCCCAAGTCTAGCTGACGTAAAAATTTGTAACGCAGCAACGGATTCACCACAATTTTTTTCTTGACCACCGCAGTTTGGATTCCGACAAATTGACACTCCGTTTTGCTTCTATAATCATTTATTGTAAGTAAACAGATGACACAGCTTGTCTGAATAAATATCGAATATTTTATAGGAAGTATTGTGCAACACGAGCATTTTATCCTCGCAAAAAAGGAAAATTTGATAAAATTACCGATTTTTTAAGGATAAACAACTTAGATAGTGGGAACATCGCTCGCATGTTTGTAAAGTTCTTTGTAACCAAGAAAGATGGTCGTTTAAGCAGTGTTATTTCATTGCATAGAGGAATGTAAATTTTCATGACAAGAAAATTTGTTTTCGTTGCAAACAAAATTTTTTTGGGGGTTTCTTTTTGAAAACTAAATGATTCCATCACAGTCAGAGAAATTTCACCTTGATTAGGTTTTTGCGTTGCCGTGGCTAAAATTTTGCTTGACAAAACAAGCTGTTCCCTTATTGTAAAGCTCGTATCACGTGAAAGTGGATCCGATTTCCTTGAGTGTGTACAATTTAATCCTGGATCACCATTTTTTTTAAAACCAAAAATTTCTTACTTTTTCAGTTACTTCGCCCGAAGGCCTATTGACGTATTCTTGAATAAAGAGCCTATTTACGGTTTGGAATTATTCCCCCAGTTCTCATTTGAAAACTTTTAAGAGTACGATTTTAATATTACAGTGTCTTGAGGTCCACAATCTCTACTGAAATTGGATTTGGTTAGCCTCGGGCATTACCATTGGGTATTCCTTCGGGGGACCTGAATCACCTGGCACTGCCCTTTAACGCAGTGGTGATTCTTGAAAGTTTGCAACATTGTTATTCGCCCTTTAAATGATTGTAAAACAATCGATTGCTTCACCTTAAATTGATATTTTCTATTGAATTTGAAGGGAGGAAAGACAGTGTTTCAAACTTGCAAAATCGCAATTGTTCAAGCTTAATCGAGTTGGACCTTCACGAAATCAATGCCAACTGCAGAATCGTAGAAGTTAATAACACTACTTCTCCTCCAGTTAAATCCGTCATAAATAATCATTTCTAACAATAAGTGAGGTGCAGTCAAACGCGCAAAAAAAATTTCTCTTAAACGTGCAATTAAACCTGATCACCTAAGTCATTAAAGTGAGGTGTGACAGGGGTGAAATGCAAAAGTTTTCCTCAATTTGTAGTCCATCAATAATAGCTCCAACTCAAGCAGTGCTCATTGCATGAAGTCGTACTGACACCTCTGATGTGAAATTCAAAAAATCAAATGGGGAGAGAGAGAGAGAGAGAGAGAGAGAAAAAAAATGAGAAGAGTGGAAACTTACTTCTGACATTCTAACGCATGCTTTTAATGATCGCGAGGTTCATATGAAAAAAGTCTGCAGTTTAAATTAAACAGCATGTCAAATCAATTTAGAAAAGGAAAACGGAGAAAAATACCCAGACAGATAAAATTTAAATTCTAGGGAGAAATCTTGATTAAAGTCATTTGCGATTATTAATTCAAATGAACATCCACTGATATTCCCTACCGTCATTACTCAGTACCTATCATTATCATTACATTTCGAGGTCATGATCTATTGGTTTCCTATAAAAGTTGCTCTCTAAAAATTTAGCACTATTTCAAATCTTCAGGCTGACGACATAAGTTGTGCGATTAGTAAAATGAAGAAATGTTGTTTTTCATGCTGCCTTGCGATCTTTGTTTTAATTATTTCACATCAGCAAGTTGGAACGGTGAGTCATGGTAGAAGTAGAATGTTTTGCTCTGTTAGATCCATGAATTGTGCGCATGTCGGTGGTAAAATGTCATATTAGCTTATTGTCAGTTCGATAGCATGAACCGGGGACACAGTTACCTAAACTCTAAGTACGGTTACATTAAGCGGACAGTTCAACCAAAATGCTATCGTCGAAAGTAAAAAAGCCACATCTCCTCTCTATTGTCATGGGAACGGAGTTCCCCAGGATATTACAATCGTTCCGTTGCTATCGCTATGGGATTCCCTATGCCTCTGCGACCTTGAGCGTTTCGCCCAGTCTTCGATTTTTGGTTGATTTTCCGATGTATCAAAAACCGTTGTATTTTTTAGCCAATCATGTCTCTACGTCAAGTTGTGTTGATTTGTAAAATTCGTTTTCAGCGAGTTTTTTTCCACCTTGAGATGTCGTGTCTGACTGGTAAATCTGCGCAGTACCACGAAGTTCCGATTTTGGGCAAATTCTTTTTTTTTGGGAGGTTCCGATTGGTTATTTTTCGCCATCAGTTTTCTGTTCGTTGGTGCAAAAGATCGCCTACCTCGGTGCTCTTGAGAAGCCGCCATTATCCCACCTCAAATTTGAAAAATAGAAGTAAAGAAATAATAACCATCGTACAAGGTGGAAAATTGTTCTGGAGGACTCGTTACGGACAAAGAAGTCAAAATCAGAGCTCGATTGATTGATTTAATTCATGGATGAACAAATATCGCCTCAGCTTACTACCGCGATGGCAAATGCATGCTGAGATGAACCCTGAGAGGCATGAAAACAGTGCGAACCATGGCTCCTACAGTAATGCGCTTAGCTCATTTCTCTCATATCCCAAAGCGTCAAGGTCTCTTGTGATAAGTCCCGCCCATTGCCCGAGTCTTTTGTATGCTATTTTTACTCTCTCCCACGCCGATTCGTTATAGCCTAGTTGACTAAATCGCCTCATATTTTTGATTAGGTGCGGGCAATAGGCGATCGGGAGTTCGATACCCGACGATGGGTGTTACTTTTTAATGGTTGTATTGAATGTTTTAGACTAATCATCAAAAAATAATTAATACTAGATGATAAATGTACGAACATTTTCTCGTGAGTTAATTATAAGCGCACGGTAGAGCGCTAGACGGCAATAAAGAAACCTTAAAACAAGACTAAAGCAACAAAAGAAACCTAAGTGTATGATTAGATGTATCGGTTGAAATTGAAGGCTGACTATATACTGTAATGTAACGTAGCGCGCGTAAGCTTATATACACGAAAATCAACTTAATATCGCAATTATTGGGCCGAAATCGTAAGATTATACTCTCTACCACCTTAACGAGTGATCAAAACCCTAGAACACNAAATACTAATATATTCATCCGTTATATAATCAGGGAGATGTTGACCCAAATATTGATGTACATTTTCTCTGTTCGCCCAAATTAATGATGGTATTTTCTTTTTTCAATAAAATTACAAGCAAAAAATAACAATTTATACCTACGCAAAAAGTAAATAAATAAATAAAGCAATGACATGAAAGTAGTATAGGTAGTACACATCTAACATTTCAGTTACATCTATTTGAATGAAAAAAATGGCAACTTAGGAAGCACATAGGTCACTTATGATACGTATTCGGGCATATGCGTAGAGTAAAAATATCATACTTTACGCCGAAAAAACGAAACTGAAAGTTAAATGCGTTAACTTCCAAAAACCATACATAATCCAACGAAAATAAATAATTGGTAAATAACAGCTTTCTTGTATGCAAAGAAAAAAAATTAAAAATGTTAAAAAAGAGATGTCGACACAAAATTACATAGCCCCTTCAATTCTGAAGATACTACAAACGAACTGTACCTTAACATTTTCATATCCCAGAAGCAAAAGTTCCCATGACGAATATTGCTATCGCTAGCGATTGCAAAAACCAACTTGTATTTTCTTAATTTTTTTTGGCAAAATGTTGCTTTTGCAAGCAGACAGGTAACAAATATGATCGTCCTTAATTTTTTGAGTCGACTCTAACGTACCATAAGGAACTCAAACTGAAAAAATAATGTATTTTGGCAAAAATTACGTTTTTACTGTACAAAGACTGCCCCAAAAGTACCCGGACTGGTTCTGTAACTTTAAAACTGCACGGAAAAACTATAGAAAGCTGAGCACTAACTGTTTAGATCAAGCAGAGCCAGCTGGTAGTAGCGCTGAGCCCTAAAACTTTAGGCTCCAGCCTCAGTATGTTACACTGTATTACCCATAGCTCATGTATTTAAATTACGTAAGGGATTCAGCTAAGTAGGATTTGACAGGAGATCATTAGGTTTCATATAGCAAAAGTAGAATCCACAGGTTCTACCTTATAGTGTGACTCTAGCGTAACGTAACTTAGGGATGATCTGTCAACATGACAATAATTATTGATGTTACTTTTTTTCTTCTTTTTTAAATTTTCTTTCCTTTCTTTTTTTGCGGAAGGTCAAGGGAACTCTGGACCGGGATCGAGTGATCCTGATGTACATGAACCGAACGGATCGTTGCCGAGGGATTTCGGAGGGATCGACGACAGAAGCCAAGCAGGCGGCCAACACGGCGTGCGAGCAGGCGTTTCTAGCTCTTGACCGGCTTGGCCTCAACGTTTGCACCAATTGGTCCCGCCCCGAGTGTCGTGCTTTCCCCAATCAACCCCAAAGCATCTGCTCAGTCATTACCTCTCCCTGTCCACTTTATGTTACAGGTGAGTGAGAAAAGGGATCTTAGTCTACAAAAACTCAAATTTTATTCAAAAAACTTGAAATTGTCAATCTCAATATCTCCTTTGAAAGAGCGATGTGCATATCAGCATACACACACTTTTTTATGAGACAATGGTAACAGAGGAAAAACAAGGGGGGGGGACGGGCAACAAGGCTAAAATACGACCCAAAAAAATGATCTTTTTTTTTCTCATGGATCTCAATCTTGATCAAGTTCTAAAATACTTTAACTACCGCATTGAAACAAACTTAAGTTTCTAAACAAGTTTTAAGTATGAATAAACTCTATGCTTTTTATGATCAAGAGCAGGTTCAATACGCTAATTGCAGAATTGCGTATCTTTTGATGAAATGTCATTTTACAATCATAGAATGCTCGATCTGGACGTATGAGATCAAACTAAAGATTCTGATAAGGAATTGTAAGTATGGAACCCTTTTTTCAGTCTTTATAATAATCAAAATTTGTCGACAACAGGTTTAAAACACCAATTACAAAAATTCGTATCTCGTGATAAAGTTTTAATTCTTAATGCCGAAATGAAAAATCTCGGCATTTCTGCCGTGTTTTCTAACAATTTGAGAAATTATTCAAAATGCTGATGGAGTCTGATAAAGCATCTTATTTTTGCTATCCTCGAGAATTATTACCCTTCTTCTGACGAGGAGGAATGTAGACAGTTTCTTTACCTCCTAGAAAATTATCTTTTCCGAGATACGCACTTCTGCACTCTAACCATCGATAAACTTATTGTTAGTTTCTTTTAACATAAATAGTCCAATTGAAATACCCCTAGTAGAAGAACCATAGAAGGAAACGATAAAGATTATATATGTACGAAAGTTAATTTTTTTATATAATGCATGCATACGAAAGTGTTGAAAGTGAACATTCTTATGCAACCATTATATAAAAAAGTCATAATTTTCGTGAGCTTTTCGCCAACATACTAAAAAATCTTCTAATTCGCAGAAAGCTCACAAAACTTATGACCTTTTTAGGTAGATTTCGAAGAAATATCTACCTATTGCAGACGGTACGACCTCGTAATTTTCCGGAATTTTCGCTCAAAGAGCATCGATCCTGAAGCCTTGAGTTGAAAAATGGGGGTCATAATATATATATATATATATATATATATATATATATATATATATATATCAAACGAAACTATGCATGGTTCTTCACTGCTATGAGGTCTAGATCAAGTTTCCTTTTTCGTGAAAATCGGTCCACCCCTTATCCGGAAAATCTCCAAGTCCAAAGGGGGATGATTCTTCAAACTCGTCCGATCTTAGTCGGCGATACGTCAAAAAACTCGTCTCGTCGTGGCCTTCAAAACAATCTATATTCATCTACCCTCTAAAACCACCCCTTATCCGGAAAATCTCAAGTCCAAAGGGGGATGATTTTTCAAACTCGTCCGATCTTAGTCGGTGATACGTCAAAAAACTCGTCTCGTCGTGACCTTCAAAACAACCTATGTTCACCTACCCTCTAAAACCACCCCTTATCCGGAAAATCTCAAGTCCAAAGGGGGATGATTTTTCAAACTCGTCCGATCTTGGTCGGTGATACGTCAAAAACTCGTCTCGTCGTGGCCTTTAAAACAACCTATATTCACCTACCCTCTAAAACCACTCCTTATCCGGAAAATCTCAAGTTCAAGGGGGACGATTTTCCGACCTGTCAGGCTCATTAGGCGCAATTGTTTTCATAGAAACGATTAGTCGAAATCTACCTTTCGTTTCCACTGTGGCTGGAAAGCGTTTTTTTTATTTAGTAGTTACATGAAAATGTTCACTTTTAACACGTTCGTATGCATGCGTTAAATAAAAAAATTGTCTGTAAAAAAAAATTACCGTACATCTAGCTTGTATCTAGCTTTTATCATTTTTCATATATTACGGTCCGGTCTGAACTTTGATTTTTTTATATGAGCTTTACTCGTTTTTTATATAAAACTACCATTTAGATAACAGATATGTTTTTTTTAGAAAAACAAAAATTTGTTCTGCTACTAGGGACTGTATTCTTGACATCACTGTTCATGATCTGTTTATACTCCGGTTTCTTATGTAATCAGATTCTTATATATCCTTATAAAATTGTGTAAATTTATTTATGACGCCGAAAATCACGAGGCCTTTTGGTTGATTTATCCATAGACGTCATCAGACAAACCAGAACCTTCGCCGATTGCGCCCCAAGCCTAATGACGGAGGAGATGCTAACGGGAGCACCACCTCGACCGTCGAAGCAATTTTCACGAAATTGGCAGAAAACTTACAGGGATGCTCTCGGTGTGAGGCGTGCCAAGAAAGACGCACAACGCGCAGCTGCCGCCGCTGAACAGGCTCTTGCTGATGAACAGTCTCTCGCTGCTGCGATGGCTCTTGTTATTGAACAGGCTCACGCTGAGGAACAGGCTAGACTCTTGGCCTCCACTCGCTACTCGCCCTCGAGAGATTCTTCAGGTCCAGGAATAGCTTCGGGTCCTGGAAGTTCCTCGTCTAGGAAAGGCAAGGAAAAGGTTACGGGCGGATCTAGCGCTCGGGGTGGCCGAGCAACCCCAACAACCCCACGCGCGAGAGGTGTAAGTATTCCAGGCACCCAGGGTGATCACGGACCTTCAGGCGGTTGGGGACCTTATGGTACTCAGGGAACTCCCGGCCGCCCAGTTCGTCAATCGCGTCGGGGTAAGTTCCAATTTCGTTCTACATTTAATTCATACTTGGGTGTGTTTGAATGTCTTGCTGCAAAAACGGGCAGCCTTAGAATAATTAATAATTTCTTTTTATTATCTAGAAACGTTGTCGTGTGCAGCAAAATAAGTATTTCGCCAGCGAATTGGCTCGGTGATGTCAAACAAAACTGAAATCACGGCTCTTTAAAGTTTGTAATTTAAATGACGTAATTTCGAGAAAGATTCGTTTAAAACGAAATTCACCGCTGAAAATTACCGTGGAATGAAGTATTCATATCACATTCTTTGGTGCACGGGGGAGCCGTGGGACACTACGGCGCCTGAATGCTTCTGGTGTCTGAGGTGTTTTAAGAGGTTTAGGCCAGCTGTGATTACCGTTTTTTCCTTATTTTTAGTTTCATATCCGCCTTTATCTGTACCATTTCATTAATTGTAAACTATTGCGCATGTGTCTTTTGTAGCGGCTGCTCATAGTGAAGATTTGCGATACATCTTTGTTTATAGGGAATCTGAGTAACAGTAGAAAAGCAGGTAAACCTCATGTTTGTGATACCTGTGGACTCACGTACTCAAACCATAGGACCTTGACATCACACCTAAAATCTCACGAAAAAGATCTACATTGCTACGTTTGTGATAAGAATTATAACACCGTGTCAAGCTACAAGGAGCACATGAGGAGGTACCACGAAGGTAAGTTTTTTTTTTTTTTTTTTTTTTTTTTTTTTTTAAATAAGAGTAAGGTTAATCATCAGTGTTGGTGAGCGGTAGTTTTGGAAAAATCCACCACGTCCGGCTGCTAAAATCCGGCTCCGGAATCCGTGAATATTTACAAATTACAACAGATACTATGAATAATAGGACTCATAAGTTCTAGCAGCGTATGTCGGGAATGTTTGAAACTAAACACGAGATTTCTAAGTTTATTGATAAAAGCTAAACCTCGATCCAAGTTTTTCTCGTGGGACGCCTGTAAGTGCTAGAGATTTCACGGAGGGAGAAAATAACTGCAACAGCTGGGAAAGATGGTCAGCTCGAGATTGGTCGCATCCACGTCGTTTTGCTTAACACTTCTTTTTTGGGGGAATCAAGTTCTATACAGAGTTTCAGAAATTACTCTTCATGTCATTTATAGTGTCAAAAGCGAGAAGAATGTCATCGCTAGAACTTATGGCTCTTCGATTTCAACAGAAGTTCCTTCAATTTTCATACAAGATCAAGGACCCACGTCAAGCTGTACGAACTCTAACAACGTGACCCTCAAAATTAATACACGGCGGTGGCGCCCCCTACGCGAAGAAATTTCTTACTTCGAGGAGCTATAGATAACACTTACATATAGAGGGACCGTTCAAAGGTGAAGATGGCCTTTTGTGCTTTGGAGGAGGAAAGTGAGAACTACCTGACAAAACTCTTTAAAGGATGATGGGAAGGCAAAAGGGAACCAGGCAAATTAGGGGTGAAAAAATCTGGAAAAAGACTGGGTTGGTGAGATTTTTTTTAAGGATACGCAGAGAATATCTTCCGGCTGATTTTCAAGTTAAATGCAAGGTCCGCGTTTAGGAAACTTCCTATTGTTACTTATTGTGACAAAAATGTAATTGGAAAAGTTACAAAGAAGAAGAGGGGTCATTTGAGTAGAAAAAACGGTTTCAGGACATTCCGTCAACGATTTCTTGTCCGGACACGTGTTTAGTCCAGGAATTTACGCCCACGCTTGAAATAAGAAACAGTGACCTGGTCCAAAGGTTATATTCCAGTCCGCATGTAAAATTATATTGCCAATATCGAATTAGAAAATTGAGAGAGAAGAAGGTGTTGTTATGGTAACTCATTTTTTAAATGAAACGCAACTTTCTTCTTTTTATTCATCTTTCAAATTTTCATTGGTGAATATTTGGTTTTACTTCTATCTATAAAATTGTCGATTTAAAATATACCGTATGTATATACCTTTTTTTAAATGATAATATTATTTCATTTTGAGGAACCTCTCTGAAGGCTGGTCGCGTTTTCATCGGGCTCCGATGTTTAGTGCATTTTTGGCTTCCCGGGTTCGTAAAGTTATTATCTGCCAGTACAATGTGCAACGTTTGACTTCAGCCGCCTTCCTGCTCTTTTGTGCAGAGTGAATTCTGCTTAATCCTCTCAAATTAGTGCATTTTTACTGTGCAATTTTCTCTTAACCTCCGAAAAAGTGAAGTGCCATGAAGCCAGCCACGGGAAAAAAAGCTCCCTCCTCCGCCTCATCATCTTCGCTCAAAGACAATGCAGCCGAGGTATCAGCTGATCCTTCTCAATCAAATTTAACCTCCTCTCCAGTCGACCAAACAACAACAATCTCATCAAGCCCTTGCCCAGATGTAAACAAAACCCACAATCCTCCTCCTCTCCATAAACCACCTGGTAACCTCTCCTTCGCACAAGCTGTATCCACCTCCTCCTCATCCTCCTCCAACACCAACAACCTAACCAAGGAACACGCAATTATCATTCCTGTTATTGATCAATTAACATTGCTTGACTATCTCCGAGCAGTAGGTGAGTTCGTTCCTCCAAAAGAGATTATCTATGCTTCTCGAATCTCAAATGGGAGAATGTGCATGTATTTATCGGAAATTAAATGGGTGGACACAATTGTTGCCCAAAATAACATTATCACTAAACAAGGGCCTCTGAGAGTGCGCCGAATGATTAACCCAACGATAAGATTGACACTGTCTAATGTCAATCCATTAATCCCTCACTCTAAAATCATCAATGCTCTCACCGAATTTGTAATACCATGTTCTCAACTGCAGCATGTTACAGCTGGAGTTAGAGACCATGATTTCTCACATGTTTTGTCTTTTAGAAGACAAATTTTTGTACAATTTGAAGAGGGTCGTCCGAAATTGCCTGACTCAATTCTTCTTCAACATGGAGAAGAAGAGGTGAGGATTTTTATTAATATTGATGATCCAAGACATCGATCTAATACCCTTCAACCCTCGAAAAAACCCCATTTTAATGAAACATCTAATCCTACTCTTGCCGATAGATTGGAATCAGCTCGTTCTTTGTCAAAAACTCCCGAATTAATAGTTAAGGATGTCGAATCGGCATCTATGTCTCAAACGAGTGCTAAAAATGTTGAGGAGTCTTGTCAGTTTCAAGAAACGGATTTGATGGAAACTGAAATTTTAGTGCCCGATAGAAATGCCGATAATGACAAATTAGCACTTAAAAATGATCCGAAAATTGAATGTCCAACTCCCATAATCACCTCAAAGTCTGATGTGTCAATCTTAGAAAATAACCCCGAATCGGCTAAAAAACGTAAACCTACTTCTCCACTCCAGACACCCCTTAGCCCACATAAAAAGAATAACACTCAGAATCTATCCTCCAAAACTAAGAAAAATATCCCAATTGTTGATTCTCTCTCTGAATCGTCAGATGATGATCTTGAATCAAAACATTGGGACCTAAAATCAGCCATTAAGAAAGCTGTTGAAAAACATCCTTTCTCAATGGATTACGAAGAAATCCTTGTACTCCTCGAGGAAACAAAAGGAAAGAGGAAGCCTTCCCCTATCATCAGAAAGTATACTTCAGACTATGAAGGCATACTCAAAGTTCTGTCCAGTGCTCACAACTGTCCCGTCACCCCAGACCTCAAAGGACGATTGTCTCGCTTAATTTCTGTACTGCATTCCATAAAACAAGACTGCCCATCAGGCGACTCTGATAAATAAATTCCCAAACAAAGCAGATATGTTACTTCAATGGAACTTAAATAGCGCGTTCCAACGGCGCACTGAACTTAGGAAACTTATTAGAGACCATGATCCACTCATTATCGCTCTCCAGGAAACCCAACTAAATCCAAGTCAATCTTTTGA